GTTCAGGAGCAGTCGACGCCCGGTTCCACCGTTCACCGGATCGCTAAAAATAATCACGCTCGAGCAGAGACCGGCCACGTTAGATCGGCAGTCGCCCAGCAGTCTACTCGATCGCCGACATAGCGAACGACATGCCGCAATTTATTCCGTGCTCCAGTTCGAACCGTCGAATCGATCCAACCGGGAGAACCTGCGCGACCATTTATCGCGATCGAATTATTACGTTAAACCTCAACACGTATTAACGCGGCTCGAAAGGCCGTTCGAATCGTATTTCGTGCTACGTATGTATATTACATCTTATTAGCGAACGGGTCGGTGCCACGGTGATTATTAATATCGAACTCGTACGAGAAATTCGGTTACGCCGTTAAGTAGAGGAATAATTTGTATATACACGGTTCGTTAATCATCTATCTGTGATTTTTACGCGCGAAAGTATTCTACCGTTGCGGGGCAAATTATGTACTCGGGCCTAACACCTATCGTACACGTTCGAAAGTGGAATCCAGAAGTGGCCCTAGAAAGAGCTTCTACTTTACACCCTTGTCCTTTACTATCGCCCACCGAAAAACCTGCACGTACTTCGGAACGGTAGATCTTCGTGCGCGAGGTTCTCCATAATTTCCCGAAAGAAGATCGCGAAAAACGTGACGCGTAGAGTGAACCGAACGTCGCCACCTTTTTCTCGCTTTCTCTTTTCATCCTCTCGATTCGCACGGTGTGTACCACCGTACACCTACGATATACAACTATAAATCCTCGTGTCGCGTTGTCTCGCGTTCTGTTGTCGTTCTGTCGGCTCGTGTTAAACTTTCGCTTATGTAACTTGGCAAAACAACGCGAAAGGTCTGGTTTTTAATAGTAGCAGTAGCAGCAGCAGCAGCAGCATCGAGAGCAGCAGCAGCACCGGTTCTCCAGATCGGCGGATCACCTCGGAGACCTCGTGCTCGAGGCTGGATCGCCGGCCGCCCAGCAGTCTACCTGCTTCGCCGCCACGGTGTATACACACACCACACGTGTGGTCCCCCACCCTTGCGCCTTGCCATACCCCTACCTCGAACCTGCACGCGTGCGTGTGCGACCGTCTGCCTGTGCGTGAGCCACCGTCCCCGGTATATAGAGCGTACCTGCGGGTTCCTCTGAGTATGGGCACAGGGCCGTACGTGCTCTGGATACGTACGTGCCGATTTCCCTCCCTCCTCTCCACACTCTTCTATACCCCCTATTCCTCTCCCTCCTTCCTTCTTTTCCTCTTTCTCCCCGTCCTTTCCTTCTCCCCCCTCTAGCCATATATCTATCTGTTCGCGAGCTGATGCCCTTGTGCCTTACTCCCCTACCTTCCTTCCTTCCTTCCTTTACTTCCACGATCAATCTCGCTGGTACGAGGGACGAGCTCTGTTCCCGCTAAGTCGCCAATTATGCTTCATCGATCGGCCATCGCGGGACACCGACCTTCGGAGGGACACGGATTGCCGAAATTGTCCCTGGCTGACCGGTGATCCAAAGCTATTTCGTTAATTACCCGTTGATCCGTCCGATGCTGCGTGTGTATTAGAGGAGGATACACAGGACGGAAAAGTACGAACACCGTATTGGGACATCTGTATCGGGGGAGTTTCGAGGGAGTCTAGACTGATCGACAGATGGACGACGGGTCTGTTAATTTTATAGTGTACGATTAACCGCGACGAGAACGGCTGGATTTTCAGGGAAGCATCAGCTTCCGAAAGTGTCACACTGGCAAGACGTTCGTTATTATCGAGGCAGCAGTCCTTTGACTATCTACTCGAAGCACCGTTGCACCGTAGCACCGTTGCACCGTGCACCGACACACGACGATGCGTCCTACATACACCCGTCGAACGCGACGACAATTGACGTCAATTAATCTCTACGGTAATTCATCGAAGAAAATCACTGGGACCGTGGTATCCTAGCTCTGTTTCGATATATCTGTAGCGCTGCAAGGGTGAAAATTGTTGCTTTTCCGTAAAAAATTCTTCAAATTTGCGATGAA